TATGTTTATTCGAACGCGATACGATTAATCGAAATCGCAATTAAAAAAAAAAAAAATTCTAGAAAAAGAAAAAGAAAAAAGTAAAAAATACTTACGGTTAATTCGAATTCATATATATATATATATGATATTTATGAAACTATTTAAAATTTACCGTTGCAATGAATGAAAGTATTATTATTATTATTATTATAACTCGCGTAAGATAGTCTTAGATGTAGAGGTAGATACCGTACTATAATAATAATAATAATAACGAAAGTAAAAATTAATTCATCTGTGATAAGCTTAAGACGTGAATAATACCCGAACTCGCGAAGTTCTGCCCTACAATGTCACTAATATTGCCAATCCATCTGAACAGTTTAAAAAAAAAAAAAAAAGCAAAGGAGGGGAGAATTTCAAGGATGCCAGTTCCTCGATTCAGGCACCAATGTCTTTTCCGTGACGGGGAAAAAACCTGAAAACATTTTTTTAAAAGTATATTTATTAATAAAATTTTTTCCTTTTTTTTTTTTTTTAACAGGTCTGGAATTTTTCTTCCCGGGGAGAAAGAGAGAAAATACATTTAAATCAATTGCGTCACACAAAGGTATTACAGGTACGTTAAAATTAAATTTTTTTTTTCATATGTGCATACACTACACCAACAACAACAACAACACTATTTTTAAACATTTACGTAAATAATAATAATGATAAGTTTTATACCCGAAAACAAAAACGAAAGAAAAATTTTCATTTGTGATTGTTTTATAACAATAATTTTAAAAAAAATATTTAATAAGTTTTCTTTTTTTTATCCGTGATATCGATGTCGATGATGATGATGATGATGATGATGATGTGTACGTATGTGTTTAGACCTTGATGTCAATTGCCATCATGCAGAAAACAAAACATAATGTAATGGTTAAACAATAAGTAATAAAACTCGTTGGCAAAAAAAAAAAAAAAAACTGTTATTTCAATCGTGTTGTTGTTACTTTTTTCGCAAAGTTTCTCTCTCTCTCTCTCTCTCTCTCTCTCACTCTCCCCCACTCTCTCTCTTTCTCTTTCTCTCTCTATCACTTGGGATTTTAAATACTATTGCAAATGGCGAATGTTTTAATTTACAAAAATTAATTATGGGGGGCTACGTACAATTCAATGAAAAATTTCTAAAAAAAAAAAAAAAATTCGCACGAGATATAAAAAGTTCAAGATTTTCCATTTGTTGAAAAGTAAATTTCTTAGAAAAATATTTGATTTTATTAACGGTCATCGCCATTTTTTTTTTTTTTTTTTTTAAATAAAAATCTAAATAATATTTTTAGTTACCCTTTGATTAATTACGTATATGGAAAAACCCGTAATAATAATAAAAACAAATTTTTATTTATATTTATTAGATGACCGTTAAAAATAAAACATTCGTGATGTAATAATAATAATGATAATAAATTTTTTTTTCCACTTTTACACGTTGCAAATTTTAAACACGCAATTTTTTTAATTCGGTTTCGTAATTTTAAAACCTAATAATATAAAAATGGTCGATTTAAAAAATTTTCTTTTTATCAATCGCGATAAATTAATTAATTAATATTTTTTAAATGTGTTATGAAAACTGTTATGATTACTCATTGCATTGCAGAAAATTTTTTTCCTTTTTTATATAAAAATTTAAAAAATTACTAACGTGATAATTAATTAATTAATTAATTAATTAATATTTTTTCAAGCTCAAGGCCAGACATCGGGTCAACACTCAACTTTATATTTTTTCCAACGTAAAAAATTTTCTTTTAAAATTATTTTTATTTTTAATGACGTCACGACGAGGTAAAAAAAATCATAAGCACCTAATACTTCTCTCAACTATTATTATTATTATTATTAATTAAATTTAAAGGGAAAGTAATAATTTCTAGACAAAAAAAAATTTTTTTTGCTTGCTTATTATTAATTTTTATTACTGTAAATTTTTTTTTTTTTTTTTTTGTAAATAATAAAATACATAAATAATAATAATAATAAAATCTCGCTATGCATAAAAAATTAAATCACATAATAAAAAAAATGATTTTTATAAAATAAAATTGGTAAACAATAAAACAAAATATATAACAGTATACAACAAAGGAATGTTTTTTTTTTCTGTTAAAAAAAAATAATAATAATAAAAAAAGATTTTATTACGTTTACATTTTAGATTGTCGTGAATAAGAAGAGGTAATAAGCCTTTGTATGCAATCTTTGTAAATACATTTTCGAAGAGTACGTATTATTATTATTATTATTATTTATTAAATTCTTGACACGTTTTTCAGTTTTTTTTTTCGGTTTTAAATTCGTAAATAGTGTATGCCTCGTTTATTTGTTAAAACTTCTTCTTTTCTTTTTCTTTTTTTTTTGATTCTCCATTTCTTTGGTTTGAAAATTTTTAATTTAAAAAAAAAAATAATAACGCGTGGATACGATGAAAACAAACAAGGAATACTACATTTCCAAATGAAGGTACTCGGCTACGAAAACGGTTAAAATTTTAACTAAATTTCTTGTAGTTTGATGATCGATTATTTTATGATTGTCTCCATTCGTGTGCCAATCCGGAGGAAACGGAAGTGAAATTATGTGAAGTATAGGAACATCTAAATAAAACGAATGTAAAATTCAAGGATTAATTAATAAAATTCGATTATGATAATTATAGTTATAAAAAAAAAAAATTACTGTTCATTAAAAATGGAAGGTGATCATCTTCTATGTAAGAATCGGTTGATTTCCTGTGAAAATATCTCTTCTTGTATCCTCTTAATAAATTTTTTTCTCTCAGTTTACTTTCAGCATTGGCCAAAATTGTATAATACTTTTGAGTATTTGTAAAAAAACTGTAAAATTCTGGTGATTTCGCTCCGAGGAGGTCTAAGAGTACAAGCATGTCCTAAAAAAAAAAAAAAAAATCACAGTAAGGAAACAATTTTATCACATGTACAAATAAATATTTAAAAAAAAAAATTAATACAACGTACAATTCTGTCCAATTGTGTGGCAGAGGGGCCACCTTCTTCATAAGGAGTACGCTTCCATGTCTCAGCTAAATGTCGAGCTCCATATAATGAATCAGTTTTAGACCAAGTATGAAAAGCTTCTTCCCCATCGAAAAATATAAATCGAAGACTCAATTCATTATTTTTTTGATTTTCTAATGCATCATTTAATGAATGAGCCATTTGTATCATCATTGCACAGGGTACAGCAGAATCTGTGGCTCCCACAAATTGGTTGTCTCCAGGATAATATTTTGAATCGTAGTGACAAGCAACATCGAGGAAACGTTTAGCATTCGGATTATGAGTTGCAATTATGTTTTAAATGGTAAAGTACCAATTGGTGTTTAGCCATGAATGAATCCACATCAACATGCCAATTTAAATTTGAAAATTCATTGATTATGAACTAATTATCCAAAAATTATAAATTATTAGTATATTATTTTTCCAATTAGAAAATTTATTTCATGAATGACTTACATTTTGAACTTTTTTGTGAGACTCAGTTCCGACAACTCTAGGAATCAGAATATTTTCTAATGTTGTATTCAATTCATATAAATTATTTAATTTATCTGAAAGTGATATTAAATGTCTGTGACTAAGATTTCGAGGAGCATGCCTGGCCTATTAAAAAAAATACATTTATTAAATAATGCAATTAATCCATAAAAAAATATAATGAACATATTATCATTCATTTAATTATTTTATTCGATTAAAATTCATTTAAATTTAACATTTTTTATTGAAAAAATTTAGTAATTTTAAAAAATTTTTAGGTCATAAATATCTTTTTTGACCATCTGTAAAAATTTAAATAAACATTTATTTCATTAGAATTAAAAAATCTTTGCTTAATGGTTTCTGTGAGATTCGACTAATATTCTATGAGCAATAAGATCAGTTTTCGATTCATACAAGGTTAGTTTTTCATTTAAATAAAAAAGTATTTTTATGTTAATTATTATATAAAAGATTTCTCTTCTGACATCATTAAAAAAATATAACCAAGGTTACTGATACTTATCACAACCTTTTTATTAATAATGGTATTACATTTTATGATGTTGAAATTGAATATTATATATTAGAAAAGTTAGAAAAACAATGAAATAATTGTTTCTTACTTTTTTTTTTTTTTTTTAGCTGATTTAACAAAATTAATTTCTTTATTTCAGTAATAAAAATAAAGAGGGGGAAGGGCAACGAACACTTAAAAAACCATCGAATAAACTAAGGTTATTGTCTGTTTAAAACACGAAATAATTCGTGTAGTTTATTAATATTTTATAATATAAATAAAAACAAATAATATTATTTAAGGGAATTCGTCAAACTTTGCGAAACAGTTATTTGGCGCCAAGAAGAATTTAATTTAAACATATCGGATTGGGTAAACTACAGTAAATGTCAATTCAAATAAATAAACTTACTCTACTTTCGAAAAAAGGAAATTTTAAAGCGTATCCATTAAAAACAGCGCATATTCCAAAACACAAAACTGTTGTGATTATTCGATGTAAAGATGACATTTTAATTTTTTTAAACAAATAAAAAATAAATAAATAACAATATGTTAACCCACCCCTAACCCAAAAATTCTTTGAAAGCAGTAGACGAAATATGCAGCATGATAAAATGTAGCGATCGCAGAGACACCTAGAAATTTTTTTTGAAACCATTCTTAACGTTAAATATTAGTGTGTGAATTGGTTTATTTAAAAATATTTTTCTTTTTTTAAATTATTTAATTCAATAAGTAAATAATATTTGTTTAGTGTTATATAGTTTAGTGTTATTATAAATGTGAAAATGAAATGTTTAATTTTAAAAATAAAGTAAAGTGATGAATAAGTGTAAATAATTAAAAAAGTATTAAAGTATACTTTAATAAGAGAACTTATACGATTTATTTCATCTTATTTTATTATATTTACAAATACGTGGTTAACATGTACTATATTATCCGCATTCAGGAGATTCATCACTTCTACAGCATAAAATAAATGTAGTTAGAGCTCCATAAAGTGCTCCGATAGCAGTTGTAAGTATTGCAACAATTAATGTTACAGGTGAATAGGTACAGTAATCAGAAGCAGAGATCGACTCTGATCCACAGATATAATCTACTAAAGTAGTTATACCGTTTGGTAGGTGCATGAAAAGTCCTGTTATTGCAAAACATAGTACCTGTATTCAAATATTTAATGTTTACATGAAAATATGCCTTTAAAATATTTCCACAAACAAACAAACAGCAAATTTTACAAAGATTACGTATTGAAAAACACACACACACATATATATTTTTATTAAAACTTACAAGAAATGGCGGCGGCGAAGATGACAGCAAAAAGCATGTCAATATACACGTCCATATGACAAGATATCCCGTTAGCCCAACCATTGTTAGTTCTATTGTCCAAAATCGACAACCCCATGTTTCTGCAAAACTACTACTTACACTAAATTGGGCGAGGCAAAATGCTACTAAAGACATAAGCTATTTAAACAAAATAAAAATTATTATATTATTATTATTATTAATGGTAACAAGTAATTGTAAGAAATAATAATGATAATAATAGTAAACAAAAGTATAAAACTTTCACAATTTTTACCCATATTGCCGTGATGAGCCATAACAAATATCCTTTAGGTGTACATGACATAATTATTTCATAAAAATTAAACTAAATCATAAAAACTTGTGTATATATACAAAATAACATTATATCTAAATTGACAGTTTATTTGAAAACAATTGAAAAAACATAAACAATTTTTTTTTCATATTGATATTTATATTTTTTTGAATTTGAGAACTTATAACCGTCAAAACAATATCGAACAAACACACGAGTTAATTTTTAATTGTTATCTTATCCATTATTTCATGCTTACAATTAAATATGAGGTAATTTTATTATTATTAATTTTATTATATATATTTTAATGTAAATTAATTTAAACTATTATTAAAAAAAATTTAACTTATGCTAATCTTACACACACACACACACATTATTATTATTATATTTAAACGAGCATAATACACATTTTTAAATAGGAATCATAATCGTTATTTGATTGTTAAAAAAAAAAATTTCATTGTCTGTTTTTTTAATTTAAATATGGACATTCAATATGGATCAAACATGTTAGATTCTCCTTGTTCAGTAAATAATTTAAAAGTAATAACACATCTATTAATGTGCAGCAGCATTAAGTACGCTTAAACTACCGACAGCCATACCGACATCTTTTTCTGTTGATTTATATTCATTACCATGTTCATTTTGAAAACCGGGCCAATAATGTAGTGCTGTACCAGCCACACCGGTCCATAAAAATATCCCGATAAGATTCATCAAACAATCCTGTATAAATAATAAAGTGACGTCATTTCGTGACGAATAATAACCGTTAAAAAAGGGATATTAAGGGAACGTTAGAATTATGTCATTTTTAAAAAATTAAAAAATTAAATTTTTTTTCAAAATGGTGTGTGACTTACGTTTGCTGATTTTTCAGAGCTTATACAATAAGTAATCAAGGCCGATATATTATATAATAAATAACCGACGAAAACACCGGATGCCAAAATTTCAACATCAACATTTTTTTCTTCATTAAAATTCCAAACTGCTCCAACACCTAAAAATTGTCCAGCATATCCGGTTCGATATAGAAAAAGTATAATTATAGTGATAGCCTATTAAAAAAAGACACATATTATATAAAATATAATTAATACCTGTTTGTATGAAAAAAAATCTTTTTAAACGATGACATTTTTTTACATAATAATTTATTTAAATTAAAAAAAAAAAAAATCAAACAAACAAACAAACACCTCGTTTGTTGTTTTATTATTACAAAGAAGGGGTAGGGGGGAAAATATAATATTTAAAATACATAAAAATTATAAAATACAGAGTGACATAATTAAATTAAATAATAAATAATTCAGGAAGTTATTTTAAATCTACGTCATGACGTCATTTTAATAAAAAAAAAAATTTATAATATATTTTTTTATGGGTTTCGTATAAGAACTCGTGCATATTTTTACCAAATATTATCGATAATAATAATAATAACTAATGCAAAAAAAAAAAAATTTTTTTGAAAACTTACAATTTTGACAATTTTAACTGTTATCGTACCAATCATAGGTCCTTGTGCCATAATTAATTAAAACCCATGCACAAAAAACAATTTAAGATGATTTTTTTTCTATACGCGTTTAATTATTATTATTTTTTTTCGAAAAAAAAAAAAAAAACGTAAAATTTTCGAGGTGTGGTGATGATTCTTTGGTGTAGTATTCTTATCGCGTTGTCAGGTAACGAAAGATAAAAAATGGCCTAAATGATTAATAAAAAAAAAAATCAAACATTCCATGAACTTATTTATTTATTTATTTTGTATTTACAAATTATTATTATTAATATTTTTAAAGATTTTTGTTGAAAACGTTAAGAGATATCATACATAACCTTAAAAACTTATTAAATGCGTAATAAAAAAATTAAAAAAATTTCTGAGAATAAAAAATTAAAAAAAACCTGTTTTTCATTTATTATTAATAATTAACGGCGGTCACCATTGACGTTATCACGATTTTAATTAATAATTATTTTTATTATTTTTATTATTATTATTAACATTGAGTGTGAGGAGAAAAGTTCTTTTTTTCCTCCCCTGAAGTATTTTTTTTTTAATAATAATAAATAAATAAATAAACTGTAATTTCACGTTTATAAATAATAATTAAATAATAGATTCAAATGGGTTTATTTATTCTATGATTGTAAAAAAATAATAAATTATAAATAAATGAATAAGGATAATAAATAATTTTTGTTTGAGTGAGAGAAAGAGAGATATATAAAAAATATTTATTTCGATTTATCCAAATATAATTTAATACTAAATGCAGAATCCGCAAGATGTAAGAAAGCATTAAAAACGCATAAACTTCCCAATGCTAAACCCGAACTCCTTTCATTTCCGGTTATGTCAAATTGATGTTGATGGGCGTAGTTGTCCCAATAATGCAATGCAGTACCAGCAACTGCTATCCACATAAATAATCCAAGAACGTTCATTATGCAATCCTATTAATTAAAAAAAAAATTAATTTATTAAAGTTTTTCTTTCTTTTTTCTACATAAAAATTGATTTTGAATTATACAAACATTGATTATTCTTTCTCCAGTTAATAAATATGTTATTAACACGGATAGGTTATAAACTAGGTAACCAACGAATATTCCAGACGCCATTATTTCAACATCTACTGCTTTTTCTTCGTTTAAATTAAACGTGCCACCCACGCCTAAAAATTTTCCATTGTCTCCAACTCTGTATAATATTAATATTATCATTATTAACACCTTAAAAAAAAATTTATTAATTAATGTTTATTATTTTTTTTTTGATTATTCGAAAAGTTAAAGTCATTCACAATAATAATAATTATTTAAATTATGTACATAAAATAAACAAGTTGAAATTATTTATTATTTTATTTAAAAAAAATTGTTCTCGTTTTTTTCTGACCTTTACCGGATTTAAAAAAAAATTAAAAATTATTATTATTATTATTATTATTACTCGAGTAATAAAATTTTAGTACTTTTCCGCGTGTAGATACTCGTGGATTTTCGTGTTTATTTTTATTTTTTTTTAATTATTAAACTTTCTTGATTTTAATAACAGTAAATTTTATTATCATGAAATTATTATTATTATTATTGTTTTCATTTATTTAAATGACTAACTGACTTTTAGGTAAAAATTAAAACTAAAACTTACGATTTTTCCACATTTTGACACGAGTGAACCAATTGTTGCTTTTCTACTCATTTTCAATTAATTTAATTTACAAAAAAATAAAAAATTATTATTATTATTATTATTATGTTGCTGTCGTAAACCGAGGTGTGGTGATTACGTTGTTGTTGTCGCACTCTTACTATTTTTTATCAGTCGTAGAAAAAAAAGATAAATAATGATTAAAAAAAGGAAATGTTGATCCCTAAAATATACACAAAATGTATGAATCAACTTTTTTTATTTATTTTTTTTTGTACTAAATATTTTCCCCCCATTCTTTCATTTTTACCTTATTTTTTTGATTTTCTTTTGGAAATTACTCTGGAAATTTTTTTTTTTTTTACAAATATGCTGAGTGTGATGAAAATACATTAATAATTTTCTCAAGTATAATTTTATGTGTTTTTTGCACTTAAAAAAAATAAACGTTTGGAATATAATATGAGTCAGTTGTTTATTATTATTATTATTAGGTACGCACTCCTCACCCTCAGGAATTTTCTAAATAAAGACTCTTTTGTATGCCAAATTATGTTTTTTTTTTTATAACCGGATGTTGGGCCCATTTTTCAAAAAGACCATAAATCATTTTTTTTTCTTTTTAAATTTGCTCATCAACCGACAGCATTTTATATTAATAGGGATGGGATTTGTAAAATGGCCTGTGTGTATATAATAAAAGAAAAAAATAAATTTGCAATAAAAAAAATTTTTTTTATTTAATTTCATTATAGTTTTCTATTTTTTTAACTTTTTTTTTTTACATATAGTTATCATTCAAAAGAAAATGAGTTTTTTATAAAGAAAAAGAAACGAAGTGTATTTAAATTTGAAATAAATTCTCTCTTTTTAAATTGAAAGACAAATAAATAGTTGAAAAAGCATTACAAGTAAATAATACATAAAAAAATCACAAATAAAAAGAAAAATTATTATTATTATTAATTTCAATTTAAAATTTTTACTTTAAATTAAAATATATTGACGGTTACATTTTATTATAATTTACAAAAAAAAAAAAAAACACTCTTGTCATTTCCACATTAAATTTACTTGTTACTGTTATTATTATTATTATTATATTAAATAAAACTTTTTTTTTTTTATTATGCGTCAATAAACAGACAATAAAAATTAATAATTAAAAAAAATAAATTTATTACTAATTATTAAGTAAAAGTGTTTAAAAAACCGTTACGTATAAGTTTTTTTTTATAGAAAAGTTTTGTAATTAATTTAAATAAAATGAATTTGATATTTTTTTTTTTTTTTTTGCTTGTAGTAAAGTAAAAGATTAATAAATTGTTTTTTGTAATAATGATGATGATGATGATGATGATAGAAAAAATTAAGTGCGAAAGAGATGTTAAAAAAAAAAATGGCACTGTGAAATGAAAAGCGAAATTTATGTAGAATTTTTTTTTTTTTATGAATAGAAAAGTAGCATGTTTTGTTACGTTTATGTGTAGAAGATGATGATATTTTTTATATAAGCTAAACAAGGTGTGAATGTATGAATGAATTGTTGATGTTAGAAGAATACAAAAGTAATAAAATAAGGTAATAAAAATTAAACATGCAAGAAAGTTTCATGCAAATAGTCAATCTATAACTAAAGTAATAATATTTGGTTTATAAGATATAGTTTGTAAAAAATAGTTATGAAAAGTACACTACAATAAAACAAAGATAAAAGTTTAAGAAAATAAAATAAAAAAGAAATAAAAAAGAAAATGAAAGTTTTTGTTATAAAGAAAAAGAAGAGAATAGACATAAATAATAAAATAGAAAAGAATAGACAAATAAAAAGAAAAAAATACAAAAAGATGTTTACATAAAAAAACCATTACACTTAAACTATATACTAAATTGACATTATATATATAGATAAAATTATTATTATTATTATATATTAATCAATAACTTTTTAAAGAAAAATTAATCCTTCACCTTTTTATATATATTATTATAAATTCTATATAATTTATGTAAGTTGTATATATATATTATTACACTAAATAGTAATTTATAGTGATAAACTTTTATTTAAAAAAATATATATATATACGAATGTTTATTTTAGTAAAAATAATAATAATAATGAAATGATTAAGCTTGAATTCATGAACATGAAGTGATTATTAGTATCAGAAAAATAGAAATAACCCATAACCTCAAAAATAAATTGAATGAGTTATTATAATAATAAAGTATACAAAGTATATATATAAAAATATTAGTTGATATTATAAAATATAAAATATTATCTCATATAATAAAATATACTAAGGGATATAACTTAATCATTTTATAATTATTGATATGATTGATAATTTTTGCTTTCAATTAACTGTTTTACATACTGTACACAATATAGCTGTAATAAAATATATAATAAAACTTAATAATTAAAAAAAAAATTACTTATTTGGATAGATAAAATAATGAAAATAATATATATATCATATAAAAGAAAAGTATAAGATAAAGAGAGAACGATAGAGAGAGAATGATAGAGAGAGAGTGAGTGAAAGAGAGAGAGAGAAGAGAGACATAAGAAGACGATTTTTTTTTTAGTCCTTATTGATTCTATCTTAATAATTTTTATAATGAAAGTTAATTCGATGTAATGAGTAGAATATAATAATAATATTAATAATAATGATAATAGTAGTAATAGTGAAAAGTAATGAAAATTTTTGTTAAATTTTAAAATATTATCATGCAATAAAAAAAAATTATTATTATTATTATTTTTTTTTTGTCCTTTGATTTTATGTCTCTCAAAACTTACTATATATATATATTATAATAATATTAAAAAAAATGTGATGTTTATATGTAAAATTGGAATGATAAGAAGTTAAAATATAAAATATTTATTATCTATGTACATTATTAATGTCATGCATAAAAAAAAAGGAAAAAAATTTTTGTGAATTTAAAAATAATTATTTATGTTATTAAAGAAAAAAAAGTTGGAGAGCTCAAGGAAAGAAAGAAAGATGAGAAAAAAGTGAAAATAAGAAAAATTAGATGAAAATGAAATAAGAATTAAATCACAGGGAAAAATACAAACATAGGAAAGAGAAGAAAAGAGATAAGAGAAAATAATGTTTTGAAAAATTGAAAAAGAAAATGAAGAATGAAAATAATTAAGTAAAAAAGAAAGAAAAAATGTGAAGTGAAGTGTGGAAGAAGGGGAAAATAAAAGTTTTTAAAGTAAAAGAAAAGAGAAAAAGAAAAAGAAAGAAATGAAAAAAGAAAAATAAGGAAAATTGTTATTAAAAAGTTTTTTATTATTTTAAAGAAGATGAAATAGAATTAAATAATTAATCACAGATAAAGCAAAATTGAAAAAAAAAATAAAATAAAATAAAAGTAAATATAATATTATTGTTATTTATGCTTGAAAATGACTGTTTTGTTTAAAGAGAAGATGCAAAGTAGTAGACAGAACAGAGAACACATAGTAGTATACAGAAAAGAGAACACAAAGTAGTGCAGAGAACAGAGAAAACACAGTAACAGATAACAGTAAGAAGACAGAAACTAGATTTTAAAAAATTAATAACAGAAAAAACAAGACAGAAAGTAGTCCAGAAGAAGAAATTATAAAGAAGGAAATAAAAACTGATATCAGTAGATTAAAAAAGAGAGAAAAAAATAAAACAGATAAAAATCATGCTCAAGAAAGAAAATTAGAAGAATAAAGGAATAAAAAAAAAAACGAATAAAAGAAGAAGAAAAGTAGAAAGAATAAAAGAAGAAAAAAGGAAAACGAATAAAAGAAGAAGAAAAATGAAAAGAATACATCAAAATGAGAGAAAAAGATGAAGTGAAAACGAAAAGAAGACACAGTAAAAAAGTTAAAAATTTAAAAGATGAAGAGGAAACGAAAAGAAGACACAGTAAAAAAGTTAAAATTTAAAAGATGAAGAGGAAACGAAAAGAAGACACAGTAAAAAAGTTAAAATTTAAAAGATGAAGAGGAAACGAAAAGAAGACACAGTAAAAAAGTTAAAATTTAAAAGATGAAGAGGAAACGAAAAGAAGACACAGTAAAAAAGTTAAAAATTTAAAAGATGAAGAGGAAACGAAAAGAAGACACAGTAAAAAAGTTAAAGATTTAAAAGAAAAAGAGAAAAACAGAAGAAAAAAATAGAAAAATAAGAAAAAAAAGGCAAAATTGGAAAAAAGAAGTAAATTATATAGGGAAAAGAAAGTTAAGAATAAGAAGAAAAGATGAAAAACAAGATCAGAAAAAAAACAGAAGAGGAAAAAATGAAATGAATAAACTCAGAAGAAAAAAAAGAAAAGAAGAATAAATAAAAGAAATATAGAATAGACAAGTTTCACTAAAAAAAAGAGAAAAAGATAAAAAAGAAAATTATAAAAAAAATAAAATTTTCTAGAAAACAGTCAAAAAGAAAAACGTATAAATAACAATAATAATAATAATAATAATAATAATAATAATAATAATAATAATAATAATAATAATAATAATAATAATAACACATTCCAATCAATAAAATTCTAAGACTAGATTACACAAAGTTTTAAATTCGCAATCACAGCAAACGAGAAAAAAAATTTTCTTTTTTTTTTTGTTTAATTTTGATCGTTTTTTAATTATTTAAAACCTAAAAAAAAAAAAATTAATTTTTTTAATATTTTTTTTTACCTGTACTTGCATTTTTTTTAATGATCATCATCGAAACAAATAGAAAAAAAAAGAAAAAAAGAATGAAAAGATAAAAGAATGAAAAGCAAAAAAGAATGAAAAAAGAAAAGTATTATTAATATTATTAAATGTGATGAAGTGAATTGAAAAAAAATTAATAGAAAAAAAAATTTTTTTTATGGTTAATCATGAAAAATGAAATGAGTTTAATAGAAAAAGAAAATGATGATAATAATAATAATATAATTTTTATAATAATAATATTAATATTTATACTGAAAATTTATAAAGACATGACTAGGTAAGTGAAAGTTATACACAAAATAATAATAATAAAAATCCCTGTGTAAATTTTTTTAAATTTAAAGTATAAAAAAAGTTTTTTTATTTAATTAATATTATTATTATTATTATTATTAATATAAGAAATTTTTTTTTAATTAAAAGAAAATGTTATTAAAAAAGAAAAAAAATTGAGCATTCCGATAAAAAAAAAATCTATGTACATAAAAAAAATTAATTAATTATTAATAATAATAAAAGTAGAAAGTTTAATATAAAATATAAATATATATAAATATAATATTTATGTATATATATATATATATATATTATTTTAATGAAAGATAATAGATAGAAAATGAATATGATTATTAATGATGATGATTTATTAATAATAATAATAATATTAATTATGTATTAATAAGTAAAAATTATTTAGTGCGTTGATCCGGGCTTTTCCTTTTTTTTTTTTTTGTTTTAAAAACTAAATTATTTACAAAATAACTAAAAATGTTTCAAGTTAGTTAATAAATGTAAATTTTGTAATAATAATAATAATAATAATGATGATAACTAACTTTTATATCACAGAATAAAAGAAGAAAAAAGAAAAGATAGTATAAAAAGAATAAAAAGTGTAGTAAACAGATAGCAGAATTAGAAAAGGATAAAAATAGTTTGAAGTATATATACATAGAAAAAGAAAAACAAGTTAATAACCTTAACCCATAAAAAAAAAATAATAATAATAATAATTTATACATAATTTGAATAGATATCATTTATATGTACAAAAATTTACGTATATGATGATGGTAAAAACGAAAAAAAAAAAAAAAAATTATACAAATTAATTAAATTATATAAAAAAGATTCTAGAATGTTCTTTTCATTATTATTATTATTATGAAGAAAGAAATTAATAAGTGAAAGAATGCGTGATAAGAGTATGAAATTATGATAATGATAATTACTATGACGATCGTGATTATGATGAATGCAGAAATAAAAAAAAAAAAATGAAGAATAAAGAAAAAGAAGTGAAGGCGAATGAATGAATGAATGAATTATTGAATGCTTGAATGATTGAATGAATGAATTATTGAATGATTGAATGAACGAATGAATGAATGAAAAGAGAATGAACATGCAAAAGTATTAAAAAAAAAAAAAAACAAAAAAAAATTTGTGTCAGGTAAAACGTAGCGTGATTTTACATAAAGCCGCCATTTTGATGACAAACAAAGAATACAAAATGGCTGCTCGTTAATTATATGCGTGTACGAAAAAAGTGATTGTTATGATTTAAAGAAAAAGAAAAATAAGAAGAAATATTATTTTAAAAAAATATCAAATTCAATAATGGAAATGATAAGAGTTTTAAATACTTAAAATTTTTGTTTTCCTCATGTTGTTTGTTTGTTGGTTTGTCGTTTGTTGCTTTTTCATACAAAAGAATATGTTGATCGATGAGAATTTAAAAAAAAAGTAAAAATTTTAATAAAAAAAATAAAAAAAGGAAAAAAAACAAAAAAATATGAAGATCAAATTTCAGTCTTGAAAAGGAAATCAATTAATTAAAGAAGAAGCGAGGATTTTTTTATAATTTTTTAGATACTCGGTAACCGCTAAAGGAATGAGAGGTAGCAGGAGATAAAGATCCAGCATCAACAAAAATTGCAGCTTGTTCACCAACTTCCATGTCAATAAATAATATATGACTGCCTCCGGTTTTATTTGTAACCGCAATTGTTTTCCAGGCAGTCGTAGAAGCAGACGGTCTTTTACGAAATGAAAATCTGGAACTGATTAATAATAATAATAGTAATAATATTTAACAAGTTGATGAACCGTTTAATACACATAAAGGGAACGAGGTTATTGCAAAATATACATTTTTATGATATCATTTATTATAAATTTTTCGCAATTTTGAGAACAAAACGCCTACCTTGCATCCCCTGTGGCTGTGAAAGTAAATTGATAAAGGCCAGGACAGTGTGTTGTAAATATTCCACTTTCCCGACCGAAACCGACGGATTTGTCAATGAGTGATGTATCAAAATTAATTATTTGATTTTTATCGGATGATGCTGGAGAAGTGGTTTCCGGTGCTGAAATAAATTTTCAATTTTTTTTATGGAAAATTTTATTTTTTGAATTTATATAAAATATAAAAAAATGAAACGTGGATTTACTTGAAACTGCTGAGAAAACAACAGCGCCATTACAATCAACTGTTTGTGTTAGTCTTTTGCTACCCTCAATCCTTGGTCCTTCTGGAACTGCTGCATTAACAACAACAACAACCAAAAGTCCAACTAAAAACCATAACAACTGCATTTTGAAATAAACAAAAAAAAATCCAATGAATTCTTTTCAGTTTTTCGTTAACTTTATTATTATTATCATTTTAAGTTAAATTTGAAAAATTATAAATTATTCATAGAATTTTTTTGGTTTAAATATTCAAGAATTTTTTTTTTGTTTGATATTTTCTGTAGACAGAAGACAGACGTCGACAAAACGAATAATACAAATCATGTTAACTTGGAAAAAAAAAAAAAAATTTATACGCGACCGTACATAAATTAAATATGGCGGAAAATAAATTATGATGAATTTAATGTTGTTTCTAACAACAAGAATTCATACTATGAAATTCATATATAGAAAAAGTAAATAAAAAAAAAAAAAAAGAGGATTTTGACATTGTAAAATTTAATAATGAGGGTGTGGAAAATAAAATGGAGCCCACTCAAATTTTTTTTTGTTTGATTTAAAACTCGGGTGAAAAACCTGAGGAGGTGTCATAATAATAAATTCATTATTATTATTAATAATTAAGTCGTTGAACCTTACGAAAAAATTTTTTCCGAAAAAAAGAAAAATCAATAAAATCGATGACGTCAATTTCAAATTTTTTCCTCGCGTAATAAAAAAAAAATTTAATTAATTTATTGATGGAGTGAAAAACCGTTAAAAATTCCATAAAATTTTAATTATTTAATTATTATTATTACTATTCGAATGCCTTCGTGATTTTTAAATTGTTCTTTAATAATAATAATTAATTAATTATTAAATAAAATTTTTAATAATTTAATAAATATATTGTAATAATATATATAAAAATATAAAATTATGCGGTTTCAGATTTCTCTCGCACTTCTGGTACACGTTCAGAAATCGCGAAAACGGGAAATTCTTTTTTGA